ACATAACATTTACAGCCATTAACACTGCAAGCAACAAAAGCCTCTGACTATTCAACTTGAGAGTTTTGAATTCAAAATGATCCTCTTTATGGCTAAAAGTTGCAAAAAATTTTAAACATCTAAAATGGTGAAGAATACATCTTCCTCTTTAATATCATTTATTTGCAAAAGCTCATCGACTCCACTACAATGCTTATTATTGATAAATGTAAAAGAACATGAAGTTAAGGAGCTAACTCCTTCATGGTAAGGTTCAAACACTTTTTGTTTATACAGAAGTCCATTGGAAATAGAGACAAGCAATTGAAAGTTAAAGAGATTAAAATTTCTCAATAAATTAAAATATCATATCAAATCATTGTTATTCTTAACATCTAAAATGCTATATGTTAAAGCCCTAATATTAAAACAAACCATCAATTTGATCTCATAACTTGCATTCAACGATAATTTCTCATAGACAATTTCCAAGACGTTAAGATATAGAGTTATATCTTCCACGAGCATTTCAAGATACGAACTATGGATGTAATGGCTGTTCAAATATCATTTTTTATCATAAGAAATGATAAGATTAAGTATCCCCGTATCTACAAGATAGAATGGCATTTGTAAGTTTTCGCTAATATAGTTTATATATCATTGATATACAATAGTACATCACTGATATACTATCATAGATCAACATAATCAGACAATCAAACATAAATTTATTTATCATCGATAGATAGTTGTATATCAATGATGCAGTATTGCAAATCAGTAACACAAAAAATACAATCATTTGTCCAAAACAGATCAAACACAGTTTGTAAAAAATTCTGGACTCTTAACTTATCACAGAAAATTAAATACCTAAATTAATAAAATAAAAAAATCATAAACAATTTAAGTCTTCATTCATTTGCTTTGCTCCTTCATGTTCAGGGTCCTCATGCATTTGCAAAAACCACAGCACTATAATTTTAAAAAAACCACCACACTATAATTTTAAAAGGACAGTTTTATCAATTATTTTTTAAATAAATGTTAAAAAGTCATTATTCAAATTTTTAAAAAGTTGGGCTATTATTTTTAATTGGTCATATAATATAGGTTAAATTTGTAAAACTCCCCTGTTCTATTTTGTTGGTATGTATAAATTTATTTAAATTGTCATTTAAATAATTTTATTATTTGGGATGAAGTATTATGTGTGTGTGTATAGCATATGCTTTCCGTTCTCGATAACACGGCGAATGTTTTCTCTGTACGTGAGTCCCTGGGTCACGTCCACTACCTCAGCCGCGAGTTGGATGTCCAGTATCAAAAGCGTTGAGCTCGTAAGTCGACATGACAGCGTTCTGGAAGGTATTTTCTTTCAAGAATCTGATTAAATATCTTTGTGGCAGGGAAAGAACGCGGAATCGTAATCAGATGTGGTGGATCAACGATTTGCATGGTTAGAACTTGCTTGTGGTCATCCGCCATTCTCTAGCAAAGTGATGCTTGGCTGGTAGCATGACGTGTATGTAATTTGCTTTATTCGCCGGTAATTTTAAGCGGATCGCTGGAAATGCTTAAACAGTGCTTTCATGGAAAATAGTCAAAATACTTACACTGTCTCCCTGCTTATCCTTTTATTTTCACCCATGCTCTATTCTTATTTGAACCTTCTACAAAACCGAATAGACTTTCTTCTGGTTTTGCTGTATGTGGATTACTGGTCGGTATCCTTCTCTCTCTATTATCTCCCAATTATCAGTACCTTGAGGATAATGTATTTTGCTAGGATGCCTATTCCGTCCTCCCATAACGAAATTTTAATTATTTGGGAGGACGGGGCGCAAGAGGAAGCCTCCCCCCCCCCTCCCAAAAAAAAAAAAAAATGGAAAATCGGCATTGTACCGAGAAATAACTTAACTTGTATAAGTTTTTCCCCTTGTCATTTTATCCTGTATGATTTTTGCTGAACAAACTGTGTTTTCCTGCATTTGCCCTGTCTCTCTTCCCGTCCCCCTTCTCCCCTCTTTGCTCCTAGCCCCCCACCCCCACTTTTTCAATTTTTTTTTACTGTAATTTTTTTTTAAATTTTTTTATTGGCTTCTTGATTACTCATTACAAGCGACCTTTCTTAAACGTGAGGGTCTATTTCTACACTGTATTGCTAGTAAAACGTGTGCTGTTGCAATGCATCGTTTTACTCTGCTGATTAGTACAGTGATAAGGTTTGGATCCGTACTTTGAAGTCTCTATCTGTGTATATTTCATTTCTTATTTCAAGTTTTTTATGGTCTGTAAGATTTTATTGTTTTGACAGTGTAATCATCTTATAATCTGTTGACAGGGAAACGGGCTTTCATTGGCAATCAAAATTCAGATGTCAACTTTAATGGGTTCAGTGATGCTTCGGATCTCTTAGAGGATTTCAGTCATTTTGTGCCTGAGATATGGAAGTTCCTAACAATGGAGGTGCTGATCACAGAATTCAGATTATTAAAAGCTCTCCTTATAAACCTCGTGCCAATCTATCATCAGCTTGGTTTGACCTGAGAGTTTTTTGTGTGAGAAATAGCAATTTTCAGGTGGATGAATCAACCCCCGAGTTTCTCACTCTTAATCATATCCCTTGAAACCCTGATACACTTTTAGACTTAAATGGTGTAAGTAGCAGCATGTGCTCGGATGGGCTGTCTTTAGTTCTTAGAAGAGACCGGGTAGATAAGAATTCTGAAGAAACGACCTTTGTGAGCACGGATAGTATACGGTTGACAGGAAGCATGAAATTTGATGTTTATGATAGAGAGATCGTATTCTTTCGGCAGTTCTGGAGATGTCCAATGGTAATGGTTTCGCTGGGGAATCAAACTTCAACGCAAAGCAATGGAGCATGAGGTGTGAAACCGATATCACTGCTAGTACTGGCTTCCTCAAGGAAAAAAATGTTAGTAGCCCCAAGATACTAGTCCGACCATTGAGGTCTATGTTGCAAGCTGCTTCTCAGGAGCGCCTATCATCTTAGGCTAAGATGCTACAGATCAATTTCCAGAAGAAGAAGAATAGGAGATGTTCGTCGAGCGCCATTCCAGAATATGATACGACTGATTGCCAGAGAGATGTATCTGATAGACTCGATATACAAGTACAATGCCTGACAGCTTTAGATATAAATAGCTGGAATTATGTGATATTTTAGCTTGATGTTCTAATTATTATATCTTTCTGTTGGACATCTCAAGTAATTTCCATTTTCTATATTGCTCCAATTTCGTTCTGTGAGAGTTATTTATGATTGAGACATCCTTTAGTGGATAAAGATTCTGTTCAACGTATGCATGTTTTGGCCCCATGTTTATTCCTATCCTGAAGCATTTTCTATGCCTAGTTGCTCACTACTTTCTCTCGACATCATCGAGGTCTAAGAGATGCATCAAGTGGATCATGCTCTGATGGAGGGAAATTATACTGCTGATTATCTTAACAAGTGGCCTTTGGTTTATTTCAATGAATATATTGTCTTGATTTTCTTCCATAGGATTCGAACTCTGAATGCTTCTCTTGATCAGGCACTGCTTTTTAATGTTTGATAAAATCTCTGTCAAGTTTAACGGAAGATAGAATTAAATCTCATCGTGCAGGTGTCACATGATGTTGAGGCACAAGTTTTAAGTTGTGGCCCTCATGGGGACTCCGCTACGGGAGCCACTAACTTGCCTCAATATTCTGTGGCTGTGCCTTATATTTGCTGGTGCCCAATTTATTAGGAAGTGCTCATTGTAGATTTATAGCCTCAGCCTCTAACAACTATAAAGTTTGCGATGTGTGGACAACGTGCGTGGGTGACCCCTGTGCAAATTGGTTGCGCTTCCAGCTAAGTTGGGCACCTCATGTATCCTGATTGGGTTTCTTTTTTAATCCTCTTTTCTGAAAATGCATATTGAATCTGGGAGTGTGGCAGTGACTGATTCTTGAAAGTAAACTTATTTTTAATAATTATCTCACATCCTTGTGTTGTTCGGCTGAGTTTTGCAGTTGTCTTGCATCAGGGTCTGTGTTAAGAGGGATCATTAATATATTTTGTCTAGCGGCAGTAAATTTCAATTTCTATCATTCGGTGTAATTTTCTCATGATTCGAAATTGAATCTATGCACAGGACTTTTTTTTTTTGGGCCAGTCTATCATGAATAGTCAATGTTACTCAAAGGACAGTCTGCTAAAAAAGCTCACTTCCGTCATTCAACACCTTCTCATGTCCTAGGTTGAAATATTTGCTATGGTGACTAGACCACACCAATGGTTGCATAAAACATGTTTTCGTCCTGTGTGAATTCCCTTCAATTAAACTATCATATTAATGCATCATCTGGATCATGATCTCCGGGGATGAGTTTCCGTGTAGCTGGGGGATCCTCGTGGTTTCATGGGAACCTTTTTTTGCTATGTTCCTTCTGCAAGATGGTAGAAGTTTGGGTGACCAATTTGCTTGTGACATCCATCTCCCCCCCCCCCCCACTCTTATAGGTAGCTGATTTCAGAAGCTTCAAACCAGAAAACGAAGGTGATTACAGCAGCATGTACTTGCAAAGAACAGGATATATGGATGGCGAAGATAGTGAACTATCGTGGTTCAACGCAGGCGTACGAGTTGGTGTTGGAATCGGGCTTGGCATCTGTCTAGGCATTGGCGCAGGGGTTGGCTTGTCAGCGCGCTCTTACCAAGCAACTACCCGTGTCCTACACAGGCGCCTCGTATAGCCATTTGGTAACTGCCGTCCAAAAACTTGCTAGTTTGATAGTTCCTCTGTTCATAAGTAATCGTTCTTTTGCTGGTCTTGTATCTGATCTCGTTATTCCTCGCAAGCCTACAGAGCAAGAAGCTATGCTTCTTTTGAAGGGTATTACAATAGATGGTTAATCTTTTTCGCTGTAGTTCAGTGTAACAGATTGTGTGATTTCGAAGATCGAGTGAAAATTGCATGACATGCGTTCAAATCTGAATGTATGATGGTTCTCCACAAGCTAGATCAAATTAATTCGTATTCTGGCCAATTGACATGGCAGCTTTTACAGTTCAGTACATTCTGTAGTCAGAAACATACATGTATTGATAGTAATTAACTGGATTGAGTTCGATGGACCGCAGTAATTTATTTTCTTTTTTCGGGACCATCAAATAAACTAGCTTCTTTTCGCGACCACCAAATAAACTAACCTCTTCGTTTATGAGAAACAACTGTTTGGTACCAGAAACGTGATGGACCAGTAACTAATCTCCACTCAAGTTTAGGCACTGAGCTGGCCAGCACCAACGTGGCTTGAGAGGCTGTCTTCAGTTCCCCAAAACGCAGCGGATTTTAGATCGTCCTGAGTCATTAATCTAGAAAATTCCTCGTGGTCATACTTCATAGTAGCTTTTCCCCCAAATTCCACAGGAAGATTTTCCTCATCAAAATACGACTTCATGAGATCCACGCTTTCTTTATCTCTGGGGTACACGAACCTGGCCTTCTCAAGCGTCTTGTTATCCAGGAAGTACTTGATTATCTGCATATAATGACACCATGAAAACAAGGGCTGTAGCAATGTGGCCCATGTTTATAGAATGCGAACACTGAAAGCAAACCTTAAAAAAGGCTTCAAAAGCCAGAGGAGGATTGTAAAGAAATGCTATGGCAAGCCTATCAGGATAGTGATTTTGCATAACATTAATAAACTCTCTGGATAGTCTGATAGGCATACTCTTGGTGAATGACCATCCAGTGAAGTCTATCAACCATGCCATCTGCTCTTGACCTTGTGGAAAGTTGAGCACCGCATTTTCCAGAAGATACACGCTAAATCGTATCATATTTTCAACTGAAGATATTTTCTGCAAAAATTCATCGGCACATTCATTTCTCAAGCGGTCAGGAAGTTTAAACTTGGAACCTGTCGTCCAACTCTGGATATAATACCTGAATTGCAGCCCCAGCTCTAAATATGAGAACGGTCCTTCCTAGTCGGTCATGAAAACTTGCTCTGTATATTATCCCTCTCTCTCCTTCGTTTGCAACCTCATGCTGATAAAATAATAGAGTATTTATTCAAGATTAAATTTTCACAGTAATCACTAAGGAGTGTTGAACTCATCATACCCAGCGAATTTCCTCAGGCTTGTAGGTTGTTCTCCACTCCAGTGTGTGCTCCAACATCTTCTTGGCCTTCTTTACATTCCAATTGTTAACTTCCAGATACCCCTTCAAACAACCATCAGAGCAGTACTTTAAGCTGCGTCCACATAAGGACCCAATCGCAGCCTTGAGCTCCTCAATCTGCGTCAACAAACAACAAACATGGCATTGGAGAACTGAAGAAAAACCAGAGAGTACCTGCAAGAGCATTACGATTACCTTCGATGCAGTGTAAACCTCGCTGCTTTCCTGGACGTGTTGACCGTTGTTCTGGGACTTAAACATGGTGACGGAAAATTGCTCTAACTGGAAAAAACCAGTGAGAACTACTAGAAAAGGAAGGGAGACGGAAAACGGAATTTGAGAGGGGCCAAAAAAAAAAGAAAGAAAGAAAAAGAAAACCGTGTACAAAAAGTAAAGCCACAGGGAAATTGTTCAGACTAGAAAACCCAGAAGGAGGATGAATACACAGCGTCCAGAAGCTCAAGCAGGGCAGAATATGGACTAACAGTGACGGAGTAATGGGAATCCATAGGCATACAACTAACAGAAATAATAATGAATGTAAAGTATTCTATATTCTACTTAGCGATGCTGAGAAAATTAGGAGAGATCAAGAAGATGTTACTTACTTCGAGTAAAAGAGGAGTCCTTTAAAAAAGAAAAGTGGCACGAGGTAATTTTTTTCAAGAAGAAAAAAATATAGAGTCGGTGATGATGATCACTAACAATGAGAAGAAGAGGGGTCCCTGGAGGAAGCGTAATATATGAGGGAAATATAATGGACAAAGAATTAAAGGCTAGTAAATGGAGAGGAAGTTGCCTTACCAGGGACTCTTTGCTATATCTAGAAGGACAAAAATGTCTTATAGGCACCACAATGCTCTGAAGAGAATTGCCGTGGAGAGTTTAACTTGTGAAGGCGTCGAGTGTTTGTACTTAGCTCTATTCTGGTTTCAACTTAAAGAGAGGCACCGGATGCTAAAAAGATGAGATAGGGGTGAGAAGGATGGAAGGGGTTCCTTAAATGATAGAAGAAGCTGTCGTGTGTGAGGGTGTTTGAGGACTTTGTATGAGAAGGCAAAACCATTTTGAAGTCCGAGCGGGCAGACGAGACTGGTGAGCATTAACTGCACACACTGTAGCCATATCTTTCATCCACCTTATTGGCAGCGACCCTCTCTGAATAAGTAAATAGAGTTAAGTAACCATCCATCGTCCAGCCACTTCACACCCACTCAATGCATCAGTACCATCCCAGTGTGAATTCTCTGTTCATTCTTAGAATATTCCGTAATTTGTATTTTTGAATCAAAATTTTAAATTTATCATTGAATTTTATATTTCGTTTTTTATTATTTTATTATCATGATATTTATTACTGTTGTTGGCGGAGGTAAAGCAAGGATGATTCTCTCTCTCACTCACTCCCCCCCCCCCTTAAAGAGTATGATTTTCTCATTTCAGTCAGCTTTGCTTGAAATCTGAAATTAGGAATTAGAAAATCTCATGAAGTTTACCTTTTGAGGCAAAAGAGAGAAAATTTTATGCTTTATATAAAAATAATAATATGAAAAAAATAAAAAGAAAAAAGAAAGAAAACTTCACATAAATTCATGGGTCTAAACATTAGATGATTTGCTACCTTTGAATGGAGCGATAACAAGTTTGAGGGAAATGGGAAGGAGAAAATATTAGAAAAGAAAACTTCTAAAAATATTAATTTTTAACTATTATTTAGAATCTTCCCTCCTAATGTTTTCCATTTTCTATTTTTCTGTCCATTAGACTAAGGGAGTACGCAAGGAAGTTTGTTTGGAGAACTTTGATTTAAATATGAAGTGTTGTTGGGGAATATGTTTTTGACTTGACTTCACATCACATTTAAAAACGGCCATATATAACCGATCTGGTACAATAGTAAGTTTCTTTATAAGTTGGAAGTCCCTGGGCCAATTACATTGGAGCATTAGTAGTTGCCCTGTGAGTGAACTCAAGCAATATTTTCATTTTTTTTTCTTCGCTTAAAAATTTATTCAAGCAAAACTTTAATTATTAGTCATTTGTTATCTTGAAAAATAAGAAATGAGAAAGATGAGAATAGAGAAGTTGATTTAATGTGAAACAAATCATTTAATTTAAAATAAAAATTTATTTTATTTTAAAAAATTATTAAAATTAGTATAGAATGGTGATTTAAAAATATTATGAACTATGACTACTAACATTTAAAAAAATTACTTTTTTATAATATATTTTTATGATACCATATTAACTTATTTCTATAAAAAAATATGTGATATCTCAATAAAATTAAAAGAATACGCATGACAACAAAATAACAAGTTATTAAAATAAATTCTAATATGCATCCGATCATATTTTATAACTAAAATGAGTTAATTTTTAACTTGCATGAATATAATAATTCATGTGAGAATAGCGGATATTGAAGTAATCAATAATTTTTGGGTTAAAGTGCATATCTATCCTTTAAGTATCACTTGAAGAGCGTCAGGTATACTAAAGAAAAAAAAAAGGTAATGTTGCCTAACTAGTATTTGAATTAGTGTAGTATGGACTTTTTTTTAACCAAAGCCTAATGTTGACCGTTTAATGGAAAGTTTTGGCTTGGAGTTGTGTCGGTGGCACGACACATGTGATCGATGTGGTATAAGTGGAGTGATCTGTGGGGCGTTGACATAGACCAGATGTCATGCATATGAATGAATAAAATAGAACCCTAATATTTTATGAACCAAGAGACTTGAACCTGATAGACAACTCAAAAGAGAGGAACAAAAATGGTCGAGGAGGTTGATGGCAAAACCATCTTTATTGAGTGTGATAGTGCGCAACCGAATCCATTAAAAGGAGGGCGATCGTGCTAAGGCTAAGTGTTGAGGTTGGCTATGAAGGACTAGAGAGGTGTTGCCATTGTGGAGATTTAGCCCCTTAATGGACTTCTTGGAGTGAGAATAGCCTTAAGAGAACATTTTATGACTTCTGTCGACGGATGACAATTGTGTGTTGCGTAACATTCTTAAATTTTAAATTTGAAATTTAAAGTGTAAATGACGGTAAGTTAGTAAACTTGAGCATCTATCAGATTACTTGTGTGATGACTCTATATTTTTATATATTTTGAAGAGCTTTATTAATCTTTTAGAGAGTTATCTAGTTATTTTTGTTTATTTGTCTTGTGTTTAGTGTTTATTTTGGTGTTAGTTAGCTTGTTTTGTAAATATTGTCTTTTTATTTTGTTTTAAAGTGTTTTATTTTGTTAATTTGAGTTATTTTGGATTTTAAAAAACTCTACAAGAGCTTGAAAAAGGTGAAGAAGGAAAATATAATGAATTTAATGAGAAAATTAAATTGTTATGATCACCCGTTATAGCAGTTGCCACAGCAAATTAGTATTATAAGGCAAATTCTGAACCAAAAACAGAGCCTGCTATAGTAGGTTTCATAGTAAAAACGCACAGCATCAATTTTTCTGTCTAATAAAAGAGGAAAACCAAGGTTTTTTTAATGAGGCTTCATTTTTATGTTCTCTGAAGGTCCAAAGGCGATTTTGGAAAGCTTGAGGTGATTTTGGAGCTCAAGAGTAAGATAACTCATCACCATTCATATTTCCATTGAGTTTTTCTTTACTTTTCTCCTTCTTTCTCCTATATATTTGTTTTGATCTCATTATCCTGCTGTTTTGATATTATATTTAGCAATGTGTGGCTTAATCTTGATACTCTAGAGTCCTATGAACTCATCTGCTCCGGTTGTGTCTTGATTTACAGATCACTTTATGATTAATGGATGTTTTATATTTTAATTCCAATTTTTATTTATGTTGCTTTATGATTAGCCACCATTAAGTGATAATTTGGAGGAATGAAATGAACTTGAAAAAAGAATTTCTTTTTATATCATTGAAATTGAATGCTTAGAATTAACTATAATAAATTTGCCTTTAGGATACAAATATACCTAAAAGATCTAAGTGGTTATAAGGGATTTGAACTTAATGCTCTTAATCTAATTTTGGCAAGAAATTGTTTAGTTAGAATTAAGTAGGATTTTGAGTAATTGGAATATATTCAAAATTAATTATAGTGTCGCAGCCCTTAAAACTGAAATTAAAATCAATTTAATCAGTAAGTTAGGTGCAATAGAGCAAATGAGGAATTAGAACTCTCGGGTCTTTCCTAATTGTTTCTTGACTTTATAATGCTTTAAAATCTTAGTTGCCTACTTTATAATTTTTTATTTTAACTTAAATTATTCACCATTATAAGTTGCTTACTTGACTTAAATAAAATCGAGAATTTAATGCCTAATTGCTAATTTATTTAATTCTCTGCGGGATCAACCTTGATGCATTACTATATTACATATTGATCCATACATTTGTAGTGTTCATTTAGTTTTTGTGTGCATCATCGTGTTTTTGGACCATTAATAGGTTTGTTAAACCTTTGAACAACTTTACAAGTATGCTAGTATAATATGTGGGCTGAGTATCTTCTGAAATTTGAGAATAAAGGGGATTCTCTTTATTTCTCTTATTGGAAAAGAAATTCTTTAGTTTATACGAGGCATATAAATATGTGGATATTATGGGGGAGGGTCTTCCTCTTTTAGTGTTGTTTTATGACATGTGACTTATGATGTGAAATGTCCATACGATTTGCATTGCCGCATTGCCCGTGTCGTTACATGAGTGTGATTTTTTTTCTTGCCCATATACATGAACTTTTTTCAATAGTTCAAATAATCAATGAATAATCAAGCATTACTAATGCCTCTCTTAAAAAATCCCATTATTTATTAATATTTTTTAGAATTTATTTGTTATTAATGCATGCCACATCTAGGAGTGGAAAAAGTCATCGATAATCAATCTAGAACGAATACAATTTACAATCATATAATGTCACAATATCCAACTAACCAAAAGGTGAAATGAATTTTTCGTTGCAACTGTCTTTAAGCTCATGGATCATTAAGATTATGCCACGCATGCTTCAAGGAATGAAAATGAGGGACCAGTGGAAAATGCCACATGGAGCCTATCTTGAGGCCTAAACCCTCAAACTTGATTGATCCCTTAGGTAGGTATTCATGTGGAAAGCAAGGACGAGAGAGAAATAAAAAACTCAAAGAAAAAGAGAAAAAACATGGCGACGCAAGAGAGGGAGAGAGATCTGGAGCTCCTCATTCCTGTCTCAGGAATCTCTGAGATTAATATAGGATCCTCTAAATCATCCTCCGCTTCTTCTTCTCCCAATATAATTTCCACACATCACCACTCGAGTCAAAAGGTCTAGTTTGCTTTCTTTCTTTTGTTTTGTTTTTTTTTTCATTTTCTTCTTCCTACATTTCCATCCATGTCTAATTCTGTTATGTGAAATTGATTCCCTCATGTAGGCATTTTCCAAGGTAATTCGCAGTTGGGCCTCAAAGAAGTTTATGTCAGGATGGTATTTGCACTCTCTTTTAATGGATAATTTTTATATTTTTATAATTTTATCGCTTAAAAGTAAATCGTGCATTGAGAATATGGATTTTATTGTCGATACACCAAAAAGCAAAAAGAAAAAAAAAAGATCGATGCACTAGCAATTTAACATTTAAAATGCTCCTACGTATGTTTTGGTATTTAAAATATTGTTTTCACCTTTTCCCTGAGAACTACTTTCAATACTAACTCTTATCTAAAGTGTGATGTGATTTGCAGTGTCATCCTCCTTCCTATGGCTATAACATTCTATATCACTTGGTTTTTTGTCCGCTTTGTGGATGGTTTCTTCTCCCCTATATATAATCACCTGGGGATCAATATTTTTGGTGAGTTATTGGTATCATAGGGCTCGAGTTTATGTCATTGAACATAACTGCACTATTTAGCAATTATTTTAATGTGATCAATGTGAATAATTGACAGGTTTCGGATTTCTTACCTCTATTACTTTCATCTTCTTAGTTGGTGTTTTCATGTCTTCATGGTTGGGAGCCTCTATTCTCACCCTTGGAGAATGGTTCATCAAGAAAATGCCTCTTGTAAGCTATATTTACTGTGCCTTAAAGCAAATAAGCACTGCAATATCCCTAGGTATACATGTCCCCGTATATTCTTCCTTATGTTCAATAACTTGTTGGCTTTGTTGGGGAAAAAAGAGAACAGAAGAAGTTTAATGCATGAATGAACACACTGTATAGATCAAAACTCAAATGCTTTCAAGGAGGTTGCAATCATAAGGCATCCGCGTGTTGGTGAGTATGCATTAGGGTTCATTACTTCCACGGTCATGCTGCAAAGGAACTCAGATGAAGAAGAGCTTTGTTGTGTTTATGTTCCTACTAATCACCTATACCTTGGAGATATTTTTCTGGTTAGCCCAATTGATGTATTGAGGCCTAATCTGTCAGTTCGAGAAGGAATAGGTACGAATTCTTTTTATCAAACAATGTAGAAAACTCATGATACCGCTATTCTCAAATATCCATGTGCTCATCTGCTATAGAGATTGTCATATCTGGTGGTATGTCAATACCTCAAATATTGACTACCATGGGTGCTAAGGCTACTCTCGTGAGAATGGGTTGCTTTGCAAGATCAAAAGTATAATGGTATATTCTTTATTAGAGGCATATTAATATGCATTTATTAGATTAACATTTTTCACTTAATGATTAAGATTTCCTATTTGTGTTTTCTTTTAGGCTTTGCCTCACAAATTTTGGGATTGGTTAACAAGCATGGTTAAGGAGAAGCTTCAATTGATTGAACCCGATAGAATGAGTTAGCAGCAGGCTCTTTTTGATGCATTCATGATGTTTGAAATGGATGTAAATTGATCCTTTCCCTCCATTTGTCATCCACAATCTTGAAATAAAGGAAGTACAATACAGACGTGCAAAGGTTTTCATGCAATTAATTTTATAAGTCTATTCCAAAACTTAATCGTTATCACTGCTCTTTTATTTTCTTTTAAATTGGGTCATTATTTAGTGTGTTATCGTTGTAAACATTTTTTTTTGGTTAATGAGAGGATGTAATGACAAAATGGAAAGCTAGAGTTTGAAGTGCTTGAAGCATGAGTTCCTGGTTCCATAAGGTAAATATTCATCAAGATTTAGCTTCATAAGGCAGCTTACGGTTTTGTTAACTAGTTGCTCTTGTGAAACCATTTTGGATTCTAAATCTTCTTGGATTCGATCGGTTGACAAAGAATTGTTGGATTGGCAAGTGTGAAGCGTTGGTTTATGGAACTTTTGAGAGTTGATTTTCTTGGGTGAGAAATGGAAGCTATAAGCTAGGTTACTGTGGACATGGCTCCAACATTTCACCATCAAATTTTTTCATGAAATCAAAATGCTTGTATTCGTATAAATAGGCTCATGTGCCTTGGTGAAAATGGAGGGGCTCTCTCTCACATTATCATTCCACTTCATATTCTTTACAGGACATTATGTATGTCTGTTTGATAGTCTCAATAGCTGTCCACTTGAATTCACTCCTATATATTATGTTTTTTTGGCTTTACAAATCCACTGCACTTGGATTGAATACAATTGACATAACTTTTTATGTACGGTTTATGGAATTATGAACAACTAAAGGGAGTCGTCAGGACCATTTGCAGGGCACGTGCTTGGTATAATTGTCAATCAACTTTCTCAATTCTGGGATTTTTTGAAAAATGTTATTTTTATTTCTTGTTTACGTGATAATTATATTTAAAAGAAGCTTGTTTTGCAGGGCATTAAAGCTTCTTTGTGATAATAATTTGTAATGTGAAATTTTAATAAAATTATAAATTTAAAAATGATTTTGTATTTTTTCTTTTCATCAAATCAAGATTGACAATTTACATTTTTTAACTTATCCTAACAAAATAGCCCAATTCAATCATAAATTTTTCAAGTCAAAAAACCATTTCCTCTTTTTATTCGATCCAACTCAATTTGATTAAAAAAATTTAAATATATCAATACCTCAACTCATGACACCGCAATTAATCTATTGATTTAGTCACTAGGTAAAGCATGAATAGTTATTCAAAAAAAGAGTTAAAAAGAAAGAATGCTCTAAAATTTTGTTGTGAAAGACACTTGATTTTTCAAACTTTTTGTTGAGCAATTTCATCTTTTTTGTTGAGAAAATTTATCTTAGAGCTTTTAAAAAAAAGATTGTTGGGAGGATAAGGTCGTAGCCTCTCCCTTATAGGAAGCAACAGAGGCTTGGCCATGTGGGAAATCATATCAAAAGACTGATGTTGAGCCAATCTATTACAAGGTCAAGGGTTCATGTTTTGCTGACCCCCCTTTTTTTTCTCCCCTTTCCACTGCCGTTGTTTTGCTAGAATGCCAGTTGCCTTGCCATCTTTTTGCTTTCCAATGCCATTTTTTTATAATTTTTATAAACGAACTATTCAGATAAAATTTGTTTAGTCTAAATTTAATATTAAAATTTTTTCTATAATTTTACAAATTTTTACTTTAATAAATATAATATTAAAAAATAAAAATAAAGATAAATTTTAAATTACCTCTTTAAAAAATTAAGAAAAAGAAAAATTTAAATTTAAACTATACAAAATATATCTAAATAATTAATTTATAAAAATTATAAAATATTTAATATTAAGTTAAACTATCTAAATTAAATGAGTATTGGCAAATTGATAATAATGTCAATTTATTAAAATTTATAATTTTTATTTTAATAAATATAAAATAAAATATGAAAATAAAACAATTAAATTAGGACCGTATGGATTTTTGCCGAAAGGTGTGATCATCTGCTCATCAGGTGAGGAACATGGAAAGCTGAAATCAGTAGCCGTTCGATCCTAGCACCTTAATAGTTGAAATCATCTCCGATAAAACGACTTCAACAAGAGACGTTTCGGGGAGGGAGATAGGGGCGGAGCGTGCGCCACGAGAAGTCGTGGAAAAAAATACGAGGGGAATCAGCGGGGCACAAATCCAACCGACTGCTAACTCGCGTCCAATACACGACACGTATAGATTAGAAGCGTGTTTGACACCGTGGACTTTGTAGCGCGTGGATGCTGTTCTCAAATTATCAAAAGAACTCGTCTGACCTGTTCAGTGTTCAGGGGTCGGGCAACAAATCACTAACGTGAGCCCATGGGTTGAACCGGGTTAATGTGTACACTGACATTTATCTTCCTGTGAGGCTTAACCTATATTCCCCACTGGCCCTTCAGTCTGTTTTCTCTCACCTCGTTCAAGCGCAATCAAAAGCCAGAGGGTTTTCCTTGCCTCGCTCGCTTTCTCGTCTTTCGTCCTTGCTATCATCCATGGCTGACCGTACTGCCTCTGATACTCGCCTCCACATCTCCGCCACTCCCCCATATCAGATCTCCAAAGGTATTTCATCTTCCTCTTTTTCTTGGCTCCTATCTTTTGTCCTATAATTTCCGATGTAAACCCTAGCTCTGCTGAGCTACTCGGGCTATTCCTTATCATTCATTTTAGTTGATTTCAACAATGGAAATGCAGTTCAGTTTTTTTTTTTAAACTGAGTTTAGGGTTTTTGCTTCATCCTCAAACGGTCATGTTTTTCAAAGCCCTTATTTCCAATCCCTTTTTATTTAGTCTTCTGTCTGAATTTTGAATTTGGTAGGTTAGACACATTGACGAATTAGTCACTGCTGCCGGGTTTTGCTTATCGCGCTGATTTGCTCATTCCTTTAGCACGCATTTGAAGTGGTGGTGCAATATTATATTTCGCAGTGTCATTAATTCCTTTTTTTCTCTCGTTTTCGCAATATTTTTTACTGCTCGCGTTCGCCATTTTTTTATGCGTTTAATCACTCCGTGTTGAGAGACATTCTTCTCTTAACATCGTTGTTATTTAAAGCACTGGGTACTACTGTATTTTGTTTTAATGTGTAGTAATTTTTACTACACGTAGTGGACGATGGAAGAAAATACATATAATTGTAGGATGCCTATGGAGAAAGTTTGTTCTGGGAACGATGGGAGCTAGACAAAATTTGTTATTTGTTTGTGATGGGAAAACGGCCTATTGCTTTATTTTTTTTTTGTTTGCCGTACTTGCTTTTTATGTCTTAAGTGAAACTTGAAACTTTACATCGATGATTTTACAACTCCAACAACTTGCGTTGGGCTATTTGTGAGATTAATTTGGGTTTTAAGCTGACAAAGTTTTGATTGACTGAATCATCTCGCCCCTTGTGCAGATTTTCAGGGCCCTGACAATCCTATTCCTCTCTCACCTCAGTGGCTTCTGCCAAAGCCCGGTGAGAGTAAACCTGGAACAGGAAGTGTGGTATGTAATAGCTGCTACTGCAACTTTCTTTTATTTTTATGTATTTTACTTCCACTCGGTGCATATGTACAAAGATGATTTATCTTTGCTTTTTTATTTTATTAATTAGATGCCCCTGTTTAGCTTCTCATGAAAAAATTACAGTTGCCTTAAAAGTTCTTTTCTCTCTTCTTTTTTTTTTTTTTTTTTTGGTTCCAGGAAAACCATGTGGTTCCAACTCCACCATATGGAAATCGCTCAGAGACTGTCAAGACATCTGGAAATGATGAGGATCTGCATGATGCTCATAAGAGAAAGGACGTTTTCAGGCCATCCATGCTTGATTCAGAAAGTGGTCGTCGTGACCGTTGGCGTGATGAAGAGAGAGACACTAAGTTCATACGAAAGGACCGTTGGAAGGATGGAGACAAAGACCTTGGTGATGGTCGGCGGGGGGATCGATGGACTGAAAATATGCCCACAAGGCACTTTGGAGAATCACGTCGTGGTATACCTGAAAGATGGAACGATTCAAGTAACAAAGATACAAACTATGACCAGCGACGTGAGAGTAAGTGGAACACACGTTGGGGTCCTGATGATAAGGATCCAGAAAGTCTGCGCGAAAAACATGGTGGTTCTAGGAAAGATGGTGAAGTTCATATGGACAAAGGCTTGTCAAACATTTTCAATCATGGAAAGGATGAAAAGGAGGGGGACCATTATCGGCCATGGAAGCCTAATTCCTCACAGAGTCGTGGGAGGGCAGAGCCACCCTATCACCAAAGCTTAACACCAAACAGACAAGTTCCTACATTTTCTTATGGACGTGGCCGTGGGGAGAATATGCCTCCCGTCTTTTCTCTTGGACGTGGTCGGGGTGGCCCTGGTGGTAGCCCCATGAATAGTATCTCTCCATATTCTCATTATCCTGGAACTAATGCAGATAAGATTGAAAGTGTGCCTGGAGAGCCTGGTCTATTTATGTACAGCAGGACAAAGTTATTTGATGTGTACAGGGTAACTGACATGCACATGACTAGAAAATTTGTTGACGAATTTGTTCAAGTGCCTTATCTAACACAGGATGAACCACTTGAGCCTCTAGCCCTTTGTGTGCCAACTCCTGAGGAACAGGTAATTAGTACTTTGGTATTGTTCTTCTGGATGCCATTGCAGCTTTTGGTGGTTGATTAGATTGCGTTCCTGTTTGAGCAGGATGTTTTAAAAGGTATTGACAAAGGGGAAATAATTAGTAGCGGTGCACCTCAGGTGCCAAAAGATGGATGGAATTCCACTGATGTTGCACAGTCAAGGCGAATGAAGCTAGGAGGTACCCCTCTTCAAGGTATATCAGAATAGAAGCCTGAAGATGGGTTGGGTGTGGGCTAACTTCTCTTGGAATTGATTTGTTTTAGCTGGCTCTCTTGATGATTTTAAAGATGAAGGTTCTGATAATGTGAAAATTGATTGTATAAATTGCTTAGAATGATCTTCAAATGGA